GGCCTCTCCTTCCAGGCATGGGACATGAAGCTGTCCTGCCAGCTCTAAGGCCTCACATGTCACACTCCGAAGGCCCCCAGGACCACAGCAGCCCACACGCTCGCAGCCTCACTGCCCGGAGGACTGCTAACACAGAGAAAGATCAGGGAAGGCCAACCATGGAGGAGAATGCACATGGCAGGAAGACGGATGCTTTCTTTACATCAAGCGTGTGTGCAATCAAAGCTGTTACAGTCGAGGACGGCAGCCTAGAAACCCCGCATGGGCACCGAGGGTCATTCAAGGCAGGTTTCGGGCAATAAAACATACAGTCTAAGACCACGACTCCTGCCACTGGTGTTGTCGCCTCCATGTGTGGGGCTCCCCTGCCTGTACCCCAGCCAGCCTGGGCAAGCCTCCAGTCCCCGGCCTGTCCCGCCAGACTCAAACCATCTGCTGCAGCAGTGAGCCCATCACTTCCCCACGGTACAGGGAGAACAGCATAAAATGACCCAAGTTCTTGGAGTTCTGCACCCATGTGGGAGAGATTCAAATGGAACTCCAGGCTCCTTGGACAGCTGCGGCCGGCCAGCACTTGCTCCTGCTGGGTCCCATCCACTCCTTCCCTCTTCCAGGATCACGAAGCCTGTGCTGCCAGTCTCCCCTGGGGCACAAGTTCATCAAAATTGGTCAGGCAACTGTAGGGGTGCTGGAAGAAGCCCCCCAAGGGCTACCATCACACCAGTGGCAGACTCTAAATGATGATCCAATGATTAAATCCTCACCTTGCATGCAGTGGGATTCCATATGGGTGCCAGTTCATGACCCGGCTGCTCCATTACCCATCCAGCTCCTTGCTTGTGCCCTGAGAAAGCAATACGGGATGGCCCGGTGGTCATGTGGGAGACCCAGAGAATATTCCTGGATCCTGGCTTAAGATAGCTCAGCTCTGGCCATGGCAGCCATTTGGGGAGTGAACCAGCAGATGGAAAATCTTTCTGTCTCTCCTTCTCTCTGTAAATCTGATCTTCCTTTCTAATAAAAAATAGTTCTTTTTAAAAATGTCACATGTCTCTCATGAACATGAACGTATGTAGTAGTGAGCAAAAGCGCTGGCACATCAGCCAGGTTCCCAAACCACACTGCAGTCCCTCCATTCCAAATGCCACGTGCTGAACTAAACCCTTCCTGAAACAGGAAGCTACCGATTTTCCAATTAAAGCTGTACTCAACCTTGGCCTTGAGTCAACATCCTTCAACAGTCCACAAGGGAGAACAAGGGGAGCTGTTAGAGACCCTCCCTGAGGGCGCGGCTGCCTCACTTGGGCGCCACTTGGACCTGTCACTCAGAGGGACTGGCGGGGAGACGGGGCACCCTTAAGCGAGCTGCTCAGGCGATGCGAGTCACACTGAGCCATCACTCTGCCTTACACTTCCTGCTTCTCCGGAGATGTCATCAACACAACAGAGTGAAGATAGTCAAATGTGTCACCAGCACAGAGACGACTGGCCTCCTTGCCAGCCAGTGCCCGCCATGACCAACACCCAGGGCTGCGAGACAGGGCACTAAGGCAGGAGTATGCATGGTGTGGCTCAAGATGGAACAGCAGCTAGCCTTTAAGAAACAAGCATTTATCCAACTTTGGTTGAGAAAAAAAGAAAAAGATCCATAGCTACCTGGAAAAAGATCCATAACTACCTGAAAATGCTATTAAAATGCTCTCTTTGCCAATTATATATTTGTTTGAGCCTGGATGTTTTTCACAATTACAACCAAAAAAAGTGCAGCCTACTAAACGTAATAGCATATATAAGAAAGCTCTGTCTCCTATTAAAGTTAAACATTAAGGAGACTTGCAAAAATCTAGACTGCCTTCCCCCTCATTGAACATTTTTCTCTTTGGAAAATGCTAACTTACAAACACACACTATTTATAATAGTACACGAAGGGCACAATTTAAAGGATTTGCCACTGTTGTGTTTAAACAAATCACTGGACACACTTGCAGCTTCTGTCTGAACTTCTCATGGGGGAACAGGAAGAGAATTCAAGAATTCCCCCATGTGAGCCAAAGTCCTTCACTGTGAGCCACAGGAAGCACTCCTGGAATGCTTCCGGTGTGCTTCTGGCAGGGCCACACCACGGCTGCTCTGCACAGCACGAGCACGCCACATGGGAACAGCAGGGTCCCGAGTCATCTCTCAGTCGGCCGAGCCAGGCCAGGCCACATGGGGCCAGCCACAGCCCTGGGGCTGGCTGCGGGGCAGCCAGGCGTCCTCCTGCTGTGGAATCTTAAATCAGTTTTGCTCCAGTTCACCCAGTGCTACCTGGCATCTGATAAGAGAGAGTGGTCTGTTCGTTCTTCTTCACCACCCTCCTGGGTGCTCCCAGCACTGTGCCCAGCCCTTAGCTCTGTGCCCAACCCTCAGCTCTGTGCCCAGCCCTCAGCACTGTGCCAGGCTCTACCACCTCTGTGCCCAGCCCTCAGCTCTGTGCCCAGCCCTCAGCACTGTGCCAGGCTCCACCAGCTCTGTGCCCAGCCCTCAGCACTGTGCCTGACTCCCCCAGCACTGCGCCCACCTCCCCCAGCTCTGTGCCCGGCTCCCCCAGCTCTATGCCCGGCTCCCCCAGTACCATCCTTTCTCACTGCTGCATCCTTGTAGGCCCTGCGCTCCTGGGAATAGCAGGGAGCTACTGACCGGGCACAGTCCTCCAAACAACACCCCATGGGCCAGGGCTCACCACTCAGGCCAAGTCAGCCAATCGGTGACTGAAACTTCACAGGATACAAAATCAGAGATGGGTGCTCCAACGTGAGCCACAAGCAACAACACGCATGGCAGCTCTCCCAGAAGCTTCCACCCTCTGGAACCTCCCCAGCACAGCAAAGCTCACACCCATCCATGCCAGCTGGGAAAGCTCACATGGCTCAGAACACAGAGCCCAGGAAGGGCTGCATCGCCACGCCAGCGGCTTTGTCTTGAGGCACCAGCCTCACATGCAGCACGGGCGTGTAGGACACGCTGAGCCCCGCCATCTGCGTCGCACTAACAGTCCCGAACAGAGCGCCAGAAGTCCTCCAGGAGTTCTCGCCCCTCAGGAGGAGGGCCCTGGGTGCACAGCTTTAGTTCCGTGGCTGACCAAAGTCTCTGGCACACGTGACCTTGCGCACAACTGGATAAGTAGATGAGACTCTGCTAAGACGTTGGGAGCCAAGAGTCTGCACTGAGAAAAATCTAGTTCTTCCAAGGGTTTTTCAAGCAATATGATGATATGACAGGAAAGTGCTGCTGAAGGTCATAGTAGTTCTCAGAAGAGAACTATAAGCAATAAGTGAGACCAAGAGCAGGGAACCAAGCAGAGGCCGGAAGAGGCGAGCCCAGCTTCCGAGGGAGCAGACGGTCCACTGCTAGCTGCCTTGCTGCCGAGTCTGCTGACCTGTCCTGGACACGGTGCCTGCATCACACCAGCCACAGCAGGAGTACTCCTGAGGCCTGCATGGCCCATCCCAGGAACTACAGCCAAGCCGCCGAACTTCCCCGACGGCAAAACTGACGTGTTCCAAGAGGCTCTCAGGAGCAGCTGGAGCACCAACGTCACCACCGACATCAACACGGCTGTGGGAGGACTGGCACGTCCACACAGAGAGCCTGCGGCATGAACCAGCACAACGGGCTCGCAGGGCGTCAGTGCAGACACCTGAGGAGCCCTGGGGGACCGTGCACAGCAGCACAACTACGTGAGGATCGTGCGGCACCGATGGGATCAACATGACCTGCAGATTTCAGGCAATCAGCGCACACCTGTGCGTGCCATGTGGCATGCATGCACCGCACAGGAGACGAAGGGCAGCTGGCGAGCGGGGCGCACAGGCAGCAGACGCCCCGTCAACGAGCCCCTCCTCCGACAGCGACTCACTGTGCAGCCGGTCTTATTTACAAATCAAAGCCGGGCGCCCTTGTACTTCAATGGCACAAGCCCACAAGCCGATCACTCACCACCAGAGGAGTGACACTGGAATTCAGAGTCTCACATTATGACTCAATCTCTCTCCTGAGCGGGAAAAGCCTCGCGCTCCAGCAGGGAGGGGTGGATTCAAAATATGCCAAGCTTAACAAGCAGGACGGTGACGGACAGCGGGCCGGGTGCTTGAGGCAGGGGGCCTAACAAGGCATGAGGAGCTGGGGTCGGCTCACGGGCGGCCGAGCGCTTCCCCCTCCGCCATCAAAAGTAATGCCTCCTTCCACACTTCTCAGCAGAAACACTTCACCTAATTTATTCAAATTAAACCTGCACCTAAATCTTCATATTTGTAAGCGCCTTATTTTGACCATTTCGCACGTAGCAGCTCAGGAAAGCCTTGTCAGCAAGTGGTGTCGGAAACGACTGTTGTGACAGCAGATGACAGAGCGGCACCTTCTCACAGGAGGGCCCCTCCCTGGCGAGGGCGCGGGGGGCTGCGGAGCGGCAGGAAGCTGGCACAGCGAGCCTAGCGGGGCAGCCCTGCTCCGGGCTTCTCCCTGCTCACCCTGCTGCTCCCCTGAGGTCGGCCTGGGCCACAGGTCATGCTCAAACGCGCGTGCTCGGTTCCAGGGGAGCCCCGGGCCACTACCAGTGCAGGTCTAGAGCTAAACCAGGACAGTCTCAGAGCAGGGTACCCCATTTGCATCCCGCCAACACCCCCGGCTGACCTCTAGGTGCAAACGTGCCACTTCCGGCATCGGAGAATGGCTTATGGGAATTCAGAAGCCAGTCACACAGGGGGAGCCCCATGTGAGGAGCCCCGTGTGAGGGAACCCCATGTGAGGAGCCCCATGAGGGAGCCCCGTGTGAGGAGCCCCATGTGAGGAGCCCCGTGTGAGGAGCCCCGTGTGAGGAGCCCCACGTGAGGAGCCCCGTGTGAGGAGCCCCGTGAGACAGCCCCACGTGAGGGAGCCCGTGTGAGGAGCCCTGGGTGCCCCAGTCTAGACTTGTGGGGATGAACCGTACAAGGCCACGGCCCACGCCATCAGCACTCACCTGGATGCCGTCCAGCAGCTTGCTCATGCACCAGTAGGTGTCGGCCTCAATGTTGCGCAGCACCTCCGTGGGCACGCTGCACATGTCCACGCTCTCCACGTCCTCCGTGTCTGCAAGGAAGACACGGGCGCTGTGAGCACACCGCACAGACAAGGCAGGCAGGAGCGGCGAGCCACTGCCAGGCCCCCACTGTGTTGTCGCTCATCTGCTGCTGAAATGACTCGCTCGGTCTCCCCACCTCATCGCTAATGGTTCTCAATTTTAATACCTAATTAGTTGCAGATAATTAATATTCTGAATCCTCTCTGATTAACGTAATTAATACATTGTAAATTATTGCTTCTCAGGCGTTTCACATTCGAGTAAGGGAGAACTTACAGTAAACGACTGTTGCTGATGGAGACCTGAAGCTGGGCCATCAGGCCCTCGGGACCTGGCTCTGCAGGGCGAGGCAGCCATCAGCCGCAAGCCCCCCCACCTGCTTGCAGGCCACGCGCCCAGAGCTGCATGAGACAAGCATGTCTATGCCACGATCAAAGGTGGGCTTCAAACACACAACTGACAATGCTGCTCGAAATCGCGTTCTTCTCAAGATGTAAAAAAAATAAAATAATGAGAAATCATAACGAGAAGTCTTTAAAATGCAAAGCCCAGCACTGTGGCACCGTGGCCCTGTGGCCCTGTGGCACTGTGGCACCGTGGCACCGTGGCACTGTGGCATCATGGCACCGTGGCACTGTGGCATCATGGCTATGTTGCTGCCTACAACGCCACCATCCCATACCTGCTCCTGCGCCAGCTGCTGTACCTGCCATCCAGTCCCTGCTCAGAGGCTCCTGAGAGACACAGAGGATGGCAGGAGTGTTTGGGACACCGCCTGCCCTGCTCCCACTCACACGGGAGAGCTGGACGAAGCCCCTGCTGCGAGCCTGACGCAGCTCTGGCCGTCAGAACCATCTGGGCTGTAAGCCAGCAGACCAGAGCTCTCTCCTCTGCCTTCTTCCTCTCACTCTATGATTCCTACTTTGAAAATAAATATATCTTTTTTCTAAGTTTTTAAAAGTGCAAAACAGATATCTCATTCAAATAGCTTATCCAGAATCTGAGCAAACTTTAATGCTTATAAAAGTTGCTATCAGCCAGTGTAACACTCATAAATGTCTAAAAAATTATGTGTCCTTTTTAAAAAATAATTGTTTTATGTGTAAATATACATTGCATCATTGCAAGCAAAATGTTCTTCAAGATGAAAAACACTTCAGCCTAGAATTTATTTAGAAAGTTTTAAGCTGATAAAAATAACAGTAATTCTCACATTGTAATTGCGAGTGTTTACTGAGTGCTCACTGTGCGCCAAGCACTGTGCACGTTCTCGTCGTCCAGTTTAACCTGAGTGCTACGGCTGTGGAGCTGCCTACTGCGCATGCCACGCGGGGACCCTCCAGCACATGCCCTTCCCCACCCACAGGTCCCAGCACATGGCACGGGCTCGCAGTTCACCCCCGGTGCACTCCACACCAGCACTCCTTGTCTTATTAGGGTCCAGGGACATCTGGGGATTCTGCTGAGGTTGTGGCATTGTCTCCCCTGTGGGATGCCATGGGGACCAAGCAGCAGGTGGAGGCCAACAGGGAACCCCTACCCCCAAAGAGCTGGTGCAGCACAGGGGAGAGCAAGGGATGTGGACAAGCAAAGTCACAAACGTGCAGGTGTCAGAGGGCCGGCCAGCAGCCAGCACACGAGTGAGCAGAAAGCAGGGCTGGTCACTCCTTAGGTCACTGCATGTCACTCAGGAAACCCCTGTGCCACACGGTCCACTCCCTGGCTGGCAGTCACCTGTCCCCCAGTCCTGCCTTCAGCCTAAACTGACTGTCCCCACTGGCCCAGGAGAAGTCATTGTAGGCTCTTGCTGCAGGACACAGGGCCAGTTCTGCCCATGGGGCCCAGCTTAGCAAGGTGCGTGGCCTCAGAGCTCGGCTGGCCGGGGCCCAGCGTTTGGGCCACACACCCTCCGAGGGTGCCTGCACCCCAACTGAGCAGGAACATACTGTCTCCCTGGGTTCTCCCGGAGCCTGGAGGTGGGAGGTGCCTCCTCCACCAGCTTATGGTACAAAGTCTCCAAGAACCAGTCTGCGGGCACTGCGGGACAGGGGTGACAAGTCAGGAGAGGAATTCCCAGTGCCCCCTTCCATGCAGGGCCGGCTCAGGACAGACGGCTCCCACAACCAGCTGCAAAAGACCATGTCATCCAAAGTCTTCTGTTAAGAAGCTCTGTAGTGCCAGGGACCTGTGTGCAAGACCTTGGGAGCACAGAGACAGGTCAACAGGGAAATGAGGCTCTGGTAGCCCCCCAGGTCACTCCTGGCAATCTCCCAGGGTCTCTCCTGGCAGCCCCCCAGAGTTTCTGCTGCCAGTCCCTGGATTCCCTCCTGGCAGGCCCCCGGAGTCCCTCCTGGCAGGCCCCTGGGGTCGCTCCTGGCAGGCCCCCGGAGTCCTTCCTGGCAGGCCCCCGGGGTCGCTCCTGGCAGTCCCTGGAGTCCCTCCTGGCAGGCCCCTGGGGTCGCTCCTGGCAATCTCCCAGGGTCTCTCCTGGCAGGCCCCTGGGGTTGCTTCCGGCAGGCCCTGGAGTCTCTGCTGCCAGTCCCTGGAGTCCCTCCTGGCAGGCCCCTGGGGTTGCTCCTGGCAGGCCCCCGGAGTCCCTCCTGGCAGTCCCTGGAGTTCCTCCTGGCAGGCCCCTGGGGTCACTCCTGGCAGTCCCTGGAGTTCCTCCTGGCAGGCCCCTGGGGTCACTCCTGGCAGGCCCCGGGGTCCCTCCTGGCAGGCCCTGGAGTCCCTCCTGGCAGGCCCCTGGGGTCACTCCTGGCAGGCCCCGGGGTCCCTCCTGGCAGGCCCCGGGGTCCCTCCTGGCAGGCCCTGGGGTCGCTCCTGGCAGCCACAGCAGCAGAGCCAGCCCAGCTGAGACACGCAGGGACACAGGCAGCTGCACATGACAGGCGGAAGCAGAGGTTCTTCTCAGTCTTTATTTGGCTTATTATCTCATCCAAGGAGATGTCGCAAGCGTGTTCTAGGAGTCATTTCTCACCACAGGCCATTTGTTACTCTTCAGCATAATGAAGTAATGGCATTTACTCTGGGAACCCCTCTGCCAATTTGTCTTCTGAACATCAAGCAGATTAGAATTATTCTTATTGTTAGAATCAGATAAATATCCCTGGCCTGAGAAAGCAGCCACCCACACTGGGCAAAGGCACCAAGAGTGGCACTGGACAACGTGATGCTGAGCTGTAGGGACACCCCTCAGGTGGCCTGGTAAGACCTGAGGAAGTACAGCTGGTGGTGCAGGGGAGGCGCAGCCCTGAGGCTAGTGAAAGTCACAGCCCACGGCCCACGGGATGGACATGCACCCCGCAGCTGCTCCAGAACCAACCCGCCCACAGTCTCCCCAAGCCTGGGGACAAACCATTTGTGGCAAGGGCACAGGCCAGGCCAAGCCAGGCAGAGAGAGAAGGCACACCCAGGGCCCTATGCAGAAAATGGGCAGTCCCGAATGGGCCATCACAGAACAGGAAATCACAGGATGTAAAAACAGACACTGAATTAGCATAACCTCTCACGACTTCTCCAAGCAGAAAGCCTTTGGGGGATTATTTAAATCACTTTCTTTGGAAATGCAGGTCCCACCCTCCCCAGCACCTCCAGCTCCACAGCCTCTCCGGGCCGGGGACTCAGAAAGTGTGCCGCAAAGGGGAGCCACAGGCTGGCCTCGTAAGGCACGAAGCCACCGCCTGTGTCACCGGCATCCCATACGCGCAGTGGCTCAAGCCGGAGCTGCCGCACTCCTGATTCAGCTCCCTGCTAACAGCTGGGGAACCTCAGTGGAGGACGGCCCAGGTGTTTGGGCCCCTGCCACCGACTTGGGGGAGGTGCACGGAGCTCCTGGCTTTAGCATGGCCCAACCTTGGCCACTGCAGCCACCTTCAGGTTGAATTAGCAACGGAAGATCTCTCTATCAAATAAATAACCTTCAGAAAAAGAAGAAAGCGACGTGGAACTGAGCATGTGGGAGAGGGTGATGGAAAGTTCAAGAGGAAAAGCCCCCGAGACACCGTCACGCCCTCCCTCGGCTCACAGACGATGGCGAGAGCCAGCGTCCACTGGGGAGACGCGTCAGGTGCGGTCACAAAACCTGGCCTGTGTAGACCTTCTCAGTGACCACACGCGGTTCTGTCAGTGCCTACAGCTGCCATGCAACATCGAGACAAGCCAATCCAAAGTACGGGGGACAAGGAGGCCACACTGACACATACAGAAAGGCCCCTCCTTATCCGAGGTTCCCGGAGAGGAGCCCAGCCGAGCCCTGTGCGGGCAGCACCAACACCATCGCCAGCACCATCGGCAGCAGACTGCTGGCCCCCTGCTGCGGTCATGAACCCCGTGACCTTGGGTTTCAGACCATGCTGCCACTCATGCGTCGTTTTTGGGGGGAACACGTCTCTTCCATGAACTCTCTGGAAACTTCCTTGTATCTACACACACAGAGCTATTCCCAGGTGCTGCAAAGCGGGGCCCTGGAGCCTTTCCCAGAGGCTGTCCAGGGAGGCAGGAAGCCCGCCCCCATCTTCTAAGCTCTGTGAAAGGTAGGCAACCGCAGAAGGGGAACGAGCTTCCTCAGAGAAGAATCACTTTGCAACAGGAAAAGCGAGGTCACACTCAAGCCCTCTGGAGTGGTCAGACATTCTAGGTCCCCAGGGCAGAGCCAAGTCACAGGTGAGAGATGTGGAGGGCCAGAAAGAGCAGGGCCCGGAGCACTGCCAGCCCTGGGGGAGAGAGGGAAGCCAAGAGTCCCAGGGCACGGACCACTGGACCCCAGCCCCACCAGAGCGTGTGGGTGAACAAACGTGGGGAACTGACCCAAGAGCAGAGGCCCTCTCCCAGACCTCGGAGGGGAAATCAGAGGGTTACAGCTGCTGCTCGAAAAGGACAGAAACTGTCCCTCTGTTCATGTTGAGAAAACAGAATTCAAGAATGTTCCAGGACCTAGCATGATGGCTCAATTGCCTAATCCTCCCTCTGCAAGTACTGGGATCCCATATGAGTGCCGGTTCTAATC